ATGTTTGGTATGAAGTGACTGCTGAACAGCGTGCGGTATTCCCAATGGCCAGTCCACCCCTGGCTGCAACATTATTAAGGTTTCAAGTTCTCTCTCTGTCTAAGTCAGGGGTGGGGAATCTCCGGCCCCCGGGACGTATACGGCCCGCGAGACCATTTGGTACGGCCCTCGAGGTAATTTATAAACACACGCAAAAAATAAAAAGAAATTAAAGAAATCTAGACCGCAAACAAATTAAACAAGCGAGTACCTGTTTTTCCTGGCCAAGGTCAGGGTCGTCCTTGAACACAACACAAGCCTAACGTGTCATCACGTGGTATAGGTCTCGTCTGACAGGGGTGCAGTTCTGACAGAGCACCAGAACGTCGCTCCGGCACTTCCAAAAATTGCAGTACCCATAAGGAGCCGTACACATGCTGCAGTTTTTGCGTGGCTGTGTCTTTAGTTGTAAGCCAAGTGGCGATATGTTCATCTGTCATACTGATCATACAGTATATCTGGATTAAGAGGTTGCTTTTTCTTTGCACAGCATGAAATAAAGGCGAAATGAATGGGCTGTGATTTTTGTATTTTTAAGCAGAGGTCAATCATTTGTACAGCCCTCGGAGGATGTTGGAAAAATTGAAATGGCCCTTGAGAGGAAAAAGGTTCCCCACCCCTGGTCTAAGTACTAGCTGTACGAATACGCCCCATTAGGTTATCCTCTTTCCCCACTTAATCCCCTTACTTCTAGTGCTGTGTAGACTAGAAAACATCCTTCCACATCAACAAATGAAGGCGGCAAACTATTTTATTCCTAAAAGTGTACAACCAAGCCCAAACAGAGCAGAGCATTTGCCTCTCACAAGACTGTTTGTGCCGTCACCTAGCTGGGAAAAGAAAAGACGTTGACAGGTGATGGATTTAAGTCATTTATAGCCTGATGATTTGGCCGACTTAAAGGAAGTGGAGCATATAATAAGCCTTGTTATCGGAGATATAGTAACCCCCTGGGGAGGGCAGCCAGCTCAGCCATGGATAGAAAGGTTGATATGTTAATTTAAGGGTCAGAAGTCAGTCCAGTTTTTCTGAGGTGTTTTATTTTAATGTAAGTTTGAAATTAACAATTCCACACCTACATTATAAAAGCTTGGGCTCAGACAAGCTAAATTATACATTAGAATAATATAGTATGCGTGTTCATTATTAAAAAGGGACCCATAGAGAGCAACTGATTTAGTTGCAATACAAAATGAATAACCTTGTTTGTGTGCTACTACTACTACTAGTAGTTTGACTTCACAGACTATGCACACAACATAACTGAAATGCAGAAACATTGGCTACTTGCATGCTTAAGATGTATCTGTTGCTCCTCTGAGTCACCAGATCAACGTATGAAAGCATGAATCATGACACGGACGAGCAGATGGGCCAAGTATGTGAGAACGGGGAACCTTGTTCTACAGAAGTGAGACGGCTGTCCAAGCACTAAACAAACAAAGAATAATGTGAAAAGACAGCCTCTGAAATTGTGCACGAGCCAGTTGGGGATGCAGCCAGGCGTGTGTTTATTCAGCCACAGGCACGAGTCATCTATTGCTAGCAATGCCCTGCATCATGAACACTGTACGCAGTATTTGCTTTAACACGCTCATGAGGATGTTTTTCCAACTTGTTCCTTTTTCGAATCAGGAGATACAGATATATTGTCCTTGTAGAAATTAATTCCCACAATAATCTAAGTTTAGGGACCCACACATAAACACCATTATAGAAGCAATAATGTGGGAATAAATGTCAGTTTCAGGAAAATGCAGCACATACACAAGCATTTAATGACCGAACACACATGCCCAGTTTATGAAGGTCCTGACGTGCAGGATGACCTCTCGTTAAGACTCCCACTTCATTAAACTAAATAACTACATTCAGTTGCTTACTGTCATGCTTGTGTACAGCTAGAGATGTCACGTGATCGGGGATCGGAGCCGATCACGTGATTTTCAAAAGATCGGAATCGGGAGAAAAAAATCGGGGATCGGAATTTTTTATTTATTTTTTTTTTTAATAATTTTTTTTTTTTATTTAATGTTACAAAACAAAAATGACCATGTTCACGTCTTAAAGTCATCCTGAGGCCTTAGTTTTGGTTTAAAATTACACAACATCATGTATGTGTTGCTTCTTTTGGGCTTGTTTTCATAGACCTGGTTGCTTATTTCTCTCAAATCTGGCAACAGAGTGGGCAGGGCGCAGTGTCTAATAGTAGCAGTAAGCTAACAAGAGGCTACGTTCAGCTGGTGACTCGGGAGTCGGGACAGAGAAAATGTCAGGAGTTTGGAAGTATTATAAAATTGAAAGCGAAGGCAGTGTAACAGCCAGATGCAATGTTTGCAAGGCGGAGGTTCCGCGTGGTGGAAAGAACAGAGCTACGTTCAACACGACCAATCTAATACGCCACCTGAGAAACAAACACCAACAACAACACAACGAGTACACAGCGGCCATTCAGGTAACGGCACTGAAATAACTAACACTTTCAGAGACTTTTAAAAAGGAAAGAGAAACTGCCCCAGAACAGTGAAAAGGCCAAAAAAATAACAGCCAAGATAGCTGAATTCATCGCGTTGGATGACCAGCCGTTATCTGTGGTGGAGAACGTGGGGTTTTAAGGGACAACTTGAATGCTTTTCTCCTTTTTTTTTCTCTTAATGCATTGCATAAAGATCGGATCGGGAAAAATCGGTATCGGCAGATTGTCAAAATCAAATGATCGGAATCGGATCGGGAGCAAAAAAAGGTGATCGGGACATCCCTATGTACAGCAATGTCACACTCATTACCAGAAAAAGGACATCAAAGCAGATGGGAGAACACGATTAACTGAGCCTTGAATCGCTGCAAGAATGTATGTACAGCCGAGATACAACCAGCAATTTGAGGCTCAGCCAACAGAAAAAGACACAGCCTTCAGATCTACAGTAAATACAAGATGAAAGTTATTTTGTATATAATGAGAAGAACACCGAGTGTAGGAAGTAAGCTGTTTACATGTATATAAGAGTGATTCTGTAAAAGGAAGAAAAACCCACATAAAGCACCAGAACTATGATATTGCTTTGTTTGCAGAACTTGCAACTGATAACAACTTGATTGTGAGACCAGGCTCAAATTGTTAAATTGTCTCAACTTTATGCTGCTTGTCCTTATGCTTGTTATCCCTGACCCATGGAAAAGTGAACCCTCTCCCATGTCAATGTTTAAGGAACAAACACAAACAGCCTTGCTTTCAGCTCGACCACCCTCTATTTTCAGTTTATTCAAACAGTTTTGAAAAGGCTTTATAATACAAAACAAGGTTGGGGTGTCATCTCTCTTCAACAACGTTTACAGTACCAGCAGCTGTTTTCAACTAAAATATTCTAATTCTAATGTCGTGAATAAAAAGTTAGCAACTATAGAAGATAAACATAGTGGAAGATGTAGGAGCTAGAGTAAAATATTTTTCAGGTGCTGATGGTGCGCAAAACACGCTATAAAGGAGACATACATTCATCATAAAATCCCCTGAAACACGAGCCCATATGAATGACAAAGTTCCTCAATGTTTGCTACATGAAGGTAAAAAAAGGCAATGTTTTTCCCACGTTCACCAAAACAAATGTATGGGGGAATATAGTTCATCAGAAATGTTCTGCTGCCACCAAGCAGCAACATAATTCTAATTCAGTCTGAATTAGTTCATAGAAAATCCCTCGACTACTCCAAATCCCCAGGGTAAAAGGGCCAAAAATTAGCCAGACCATAGTGAATTGTTTTCAAATGTATCACTTTAGATATTAGATGCACTGCTCAAAATGTACTACTGGAAATGAATACACAGAGGTTGCACATAAATAGAGATGTATCACCATAGCAAACAGCCAGCAGCACATGGCCTGCATGCATAAGCCATAACTGCCAATAATTCATATTCATCGTTGAATTGAATATGAACCGCAAAAGCAGAAGCCAGCAGAAGCCAAAAACAGCCCAAACTAGCTCACTGGCATCCCTTAGCAACAAACACATGTACTGAGCCAGAACGCAATACGTCATTATCAATTAATGAAAGCTACGCAGCACAGCAGCATACACTTAGCAGCAAACAATAGTTTATAATCTAGTTTAATTTTCCTAATCTTTCAAGTGGAACAGTTATAAAAATGGTTTGTTTTTTTAAGTGTATAAATTAATTTACAATTACTTCTGGGTTTACTGAGATAAAAATTGAATTTCTGGAAATGTAAATAATTAAAACACGTAACTAGTGTCTGCAGAGCCTTTTGGAGGATTATACATATGGCTGTGTGTGTCTGTAACCTTTCACCTCATTAACTCAAAGTCGGAGAGCAAATTAAGTTGAACTTTATACTATCTATGGGAGGACTGCAGAGACTCAACGATGTGTAAAAAAAAAAACACCCAATGTAGTTTCCCTGTTCCTTTACTTTGTGGAAAGGGCAGAAGTAAAAGGGCCTCTCTCTCTCTGGAATTAATTAGAAAATCTGTACAGCCATTATTGGCAATTTGTCATTACTGACAATTTATAGGATGGCTAGACAGCTGCACACGTGACCACTGTTACAACAGATAGACTGGTTTCTCTTATCCTTGTAGCCAGACCGAGAAGAAATCTCTTTCCATCAAACACTATAGATCATATCCATGATTTCGTCCTGGAACTAATCTGAGACCAATCACTTTTTGCATATGAGTAATTTTAACTTTCATCTTTTCCTGGTGGTACCATTGGGCATGTTAATTGAAATCTTTGGAGCTGAAAATCTATAGTGGTCTGTGACAGTGGTAAATGAGTCTATCCTGTATTTGAAGTAAGGTGGGAGCTTTTTAACTAATGTAATGCCCATATACCTCCGTCTTCACTAAAAGTCTAATTTTGTGATTTCAGTTTTGTTTAGCACCCTCTACTATCACAGAACATTACAGTGATTACAGGACTAAAACAAAATACTTACTGCTGCTCCCATCATCAAGGTGGTCTCAGACATGACACCTGATCTGGAACAAATACAACATGCTTTTATAATCTATATGGCAATTCCCAGTAAATGTACAACACTATTCACTGCTTGCTTGACAATTAATAAACAGTCTGGCAAAGAAATGTATGCATCCTATCATCTGGCATCTTGTTTGTTGTTGTTGTGGGTTTTTTTTAAATTGGGAAAAGTATTTTAGCAGCGTTTTCACTAAACAGCACAGTTACTGAAACCACTGAAGCTCTATTTGCTATTGCACACAGGGCATGTCTAAAAGTGGGAATCATATTATCTTTAAAGAGCAGAGTCATATGAAGTATGCTTAGAGCATCACACTTTAGAACAGTTGTTTAGCTATCAGCAAGGATACTCTGAAGGATGAATGTGCAACAGAGCCATATGATTTGTTATTATCTGTGGCATAGATGTTCCCAATGTTGGCAGTGAAAAATTAATACACTTAATTGGTCTCTTTTAGTGTCATTACTGAGGAGTTTTGGATGTATTTTATTTGAATATTTAAATAGAAAATAATACAAAATAAAAATACAAAAATATTATTTGCATTGGCTTTCATTTTACAGCGACTCATATACCATGTTCCATTAAAATACCATATGATGTGAAGAAGCAATACAATCCCATTGGAAGAGGAATGTTCTTTGTGTCTAGTGTAGCCTAGTTATATTAAGATATTCATGTTATATAAATATCTATTTTTAAAACTTTTGTAGCACAAAACTGTGTTATGTTACAAATGTAATACAGTGATGATCCCTTATTGTTAAACGCTAGGATTGGGTGTGGAAACCCTGAAAACTACACTTATTGACATACTGAGCCATTTCACATTTTCCACACAGGTGATGCATCTTCTGTGCACATACCTTATCGTGGAGTCAGACGCTGACCAGCTCCATGTTTGTATGCGCTCAAATTAGCTAGCTGTTTGGCTACTCTAGCCGGCATGTTTACGAAACTTCACCACGTTGTGTGAACGTGCAGCGTTCATGGACGGTAATCTTGTCAGAAAGACGCTTAAACTCCTGAAAGTCTATGGTTGAACAGCAGGCTAGCATCCCCTCCGACAAACACGTGTGTAGCGTCTTTTTTGACAAGCAGTTAGCCATTTTTTGCCCGGAGAAGCACTAGTTTAATCTGAGACTGTTTGCTAGTGGTTTGGTTGAACAATATCCTCGCGTTGAGATGTTAAATCTCACATTTTGATAAAAAGGCAGTATTTTAAATGTGTGCTGAAGATAATACACTTTGTTCAGAGTGAACTCACTAACTATCTTATTTTAAACAAACACTTACTCGTGCAAATCAGCCAATCAAGACACCTGCGTCACCGGTCAAATTGTCTCTTACACTGTCATTGCGCATGCGCAGTTCTTCCACATTGACATTGCAGCGGCCCCTTGAGCCAAGCGCGTTAAAAACAACATTTATTTTAGACACTATCAAAATAATGATAACTAATAAAATACTTTATGCCATGCATTAATACAGAATTGTGTTAAGTAATGAATTAGGTAGTACTGCTAAGTATCACTAAAACAAAAACAATTCTGGCAGCAGGTACAGGGCTTTGGCTAGTTCAGCGGCCATTTATCTGCAACACATTTAGTTCATAAAAGCCCACTTATGTTGCGCATGTTATGTAATATTTTTAATAAAGGACTTATACAAAACGCTTTTACCACAACTGCCTATTTATGTCTTATGGCCCCTAGCCTACGATATAGTCCTCAATTTCACTGACACACACTCTCACTCTCACACTCACTCTCTCACAAACACACACACACACACACACACACACACACACACACACTAGTATCAGCATGTGTTTAGGTCATGGGCCAGAAAACCACAGTATGACCTGCCTGCTGGGGGCTGTACTATTTATTTATTTTTATTTATTTATTTAATCGTGTATTTGAATAGGGACAATGCACATTAATGAACACTTAAGACAAATAATGCTTCAAGTGTAAATATGCCGGATTTGTGATTATGCAGTCCATGTAAACATTTATAAAAAAGCACATACTTTTAAAAGACTTAAAATTGTCAAAACTCAAGAAATTGTGTTTATCAAGGATGGTACAGTGGAGCGAAACCTTTATCTAAATGTTTGGTGATTAGTTTTGACACCCATTTCTCAGCTATCTTAGATAGCTGAGAAATTATATCTTACTCATAATGTAATGTAACCAGTGGCGGTGGTGCTGCAGTAGCTAATGAGCTGGATGGGGAACTCCAGCTTCATTGCATCCTTTTAAATCACCATATAAGGCTTTGAACGTTGCACTGATGAGGCTCTGGGTCTCCCTGTCTGTCGCAATGATATCTGAGCTGTGGATTAAACTGTAAGTGTTTGCTGCTGGGACGTATTGCAGTATAAAGTGACGATAGTTATTCTTTGTATCCAGACACTGACTTGCCATGAGCTTGATCTAGGTTACAGTGTATTATTTGCACGCTTTACATCAAACTGCTGTGTTCAACGTGATGTTCGTGACATCAGCCTACCAGATACGCAATCATGCGTCGTGCTTCTATTTATTGCACTAACAAGCTATTTTTAAACAGGGGTGCATCAGTGATTTTTACTCTGACAGAGAAGACAATATAAATAGATACAGAGATCGTAGTACTTTCATGTCCTTTTCAGAGATGCCATCGTGTCAATGCGCAATTGCGCAGCCAGGGAACCCTGAGCTGTGAGACCAGAGGCAACAGAGGGGCTTCAAGATCACTGCAGCGCCACACAAAAACTCCTGCTGAACCCCATTCCCATGAAACAGACTTCCAAATATCCTCTTTGTGATCTGGTGAGCATCCTCTATGAATTCCCTGAGATTGCATCGTGGAGGCTGTTTGGGGTACCGCTTCAATTATTGAAGACATTAGGAGCCTGGGGAGGGTAAGCATGGCTATGTATAGGACACAAATATGTTGTGACTGCAACTCACGATGACAGTTCGCATCAGGACTGCGGATGTTCTCATGAAAAGTCTGGATATTTTAGAGGAAGCACGATGGACGCGGCGGACATAGTTGCTTCCGTTTTGGTTTTGGGGATTATTATCGTATCGTTGCTGTCCAACGTTGTGGTGCTGATCTGCTTTCTTTACGACCCGGAGATCCGCAAACAGGTACCTGGTCTGTTCATTCTCAACCTGACGTTTTGCAACCTGTTGCTAAGCGTGTCCAACATGCCACTAACTCTGATCGGGCTCATCACCACGGGCCATCCCGGAGGCAGCGACTTCTGCCAAATTGTGGGTTTCCTCGACACTTTTCTCACCACTAACTCCATGCTCAGCATGGCAGCTCTCAGCATCGATAGATGGGTGGCGGTGGTGTTCCCTTTGAGCTACCACTCAAGAATACGGCACCGGGATGCAGTGTTAGCGTTGGCATACACGTGGATACACTCGCTTTGCTTCTCCACGGTGGCCACCTGTCGCTCCTGGGTTGGGTACCATCACCTTTACGCATCGTGCACTCTCTGCAATGTCAGGGCGAGGGCAGCCGGGACGCAGTTCATCATCTTTACCGTGGCTTTGCACTCTCTCACTTTCCTCCTCACGCTGATCGTGCTGTGTGTAACCTACCTGAAAGTGCTGAAAGTTGCACGGTTTCACTGTAAACGCATAGACGTGATCACCATGCAGACGTTGTTGCTGCTTGTGGATATTCACCCCAGGTAAACAATCACTAGAAATCGATGAAGTGTAATACATTTTACCTTTGCCTTTACTTTTTGTCCCGTGAATCCTTTCAGAAGGAACATATTGATACTTTGCCAAAATCAGAACATGCAGACATAATGTGTGCTCAAGAGACACATAGTGACCAACAGCAGAGGATGTTGTTGTCATTTCTCTTATTTAACTAGTAAACAGTGCTCAGTGGATTAGTTAATAGATTGAAAAATAAGCATTTTGATAATCCATTCATCTAACAAAAAAACATTTTCTGTCCCTTCTAGCTTCATTCAAAATATATCCTTTTGGGGGAAGTTTGTTAGACAAATGATCAGAGAAATGTCACCCCAGATTATTGCACTGCAAATTATTCATTATATTAAATCAAAAGGTTATTTTAATTATTGTATTTTAATTATTGTACAATTTAACTATAATCAAAGTGTTTGGTTATGTATGTTATTTGCATTCATATACTGTCAATATACTTTTAACTTCTTTAAAACACAGAATATATGCATACAACTTTCTGGGGCATCCCTCTTCAGGCTACACATGAATATACAAAGTGCTCCACTGATGATGGTTGAACTTTACATTAGCATGTCCCATTAAGGTCAGCAAGACCTTCCTCATTGTTTTGCACTTCAATCATTTGCCATCCATCTTGATTCAGTCAAATAATTAAACTTTGAATTGCTCTTTCACATTTACATAATTGATATCTGTGCAGTGTGAAATTCAGTGTAATCATCAGAGATAACAGGGCAGAGTTCACCGCTTTCTTCACGTCCATCCCACATGTTTTTCTCCATGGACTGCTTCATTATGTTTGCATGTCTCTGATCATGCCTCCTGGGTAGATAATGGTGCATGTGTGCTTTGGCAGTGTTCGCCAGAAATGCTTGGATGAGCAGAGGCAGAGGAGGCAGAGGGCCATCAAGAAGATCAGTACTTTCATCGGCACATTTGTGGTGTGTTTCACCCCCTATGTCATTACAAGGTGAGCAGACATGTATAATATTGTTACTATGTGTTTGTTTTGTGCCTGAGTTTTTTTTACAAACAGCCTCAAGGGGATTTAACTAGAATAATTCTGCACATTTTGTCTTTCATCTATGAATAATCTTTGCTTTTTCAGCTTCAAAAATAACTCTCCCAGGATTTTTTTTATTCGATTTGAAAGAGTGACTGGGTTTCACTTACCTTGTTCTTGCTAATGTGCTTGTCTTATCGTCTGAAAACAGAAGGTGATAATGATTTTCTATGCTGTCTTGTTATCTTGTAAAATGTTTAACTGCCTCCTTTTCATAATCTCACAGTTTCTTGGTTCTACACACGTTTCTAATCCTTGTCACTGAGTCTTCAGAACTGGGTAAATACACGGGAGGGAGAGAGGCAGGGAAAGAGGAAGATAGCAAATGAGTCAGAGATGGTATCACTGGCTCTCATTAGTATTAGTCCCAGTATTAGCGGTGGCAACCTGTCAGAAGCTGTTAGAATTGTGCTTTGGAAATAAAAAGGAAGCGCATTAGGAACTGTGTGGTGGTGAGACATGTTAGACTTAAGGAGATCACGCTAATTAAGAAGATGGATTAAAGCCATAACAAAGCTCCTGTAGCTTTTCACGTTGTCCTTAATTTGATTTAGGACTTAAGATGTGTCAGGCACTGAAATTGGTGTGAAGGGATTTTAACAAGGAAGAAGTCCAGAATCTAACACCACTCAGTTCAGATTTCCCACAGAAGTGTTGACATTTCATTGAAGTGAAATTACTTTTACACAATATCACAGAACTGGGGGAGGGTGACGGTCATTTGCTTTAGCAGTCTTCCACACCACTTGCACTTATCTGAGAAAAGGCTTGCATGGATATAGTGTTTGACTTTATTTTTCTCTTTTTGTCTTTATTTGAGGTAGAATTGTAGAGCTCTTCTCCCCGTGGCCTATAAGTCCTCACTGGGGCGTGCTGTCCAAATGTTTGGCCTACAGCAAGGCAGCCAGCGACCCATTTGTCTACTCTCTGCTGCGTCACCAGTACAGGAAGACCTGCAACCTGCTGGCTAACAAAGTCCTCAAGAGGAGTCCACTCAACTCCTCCTCCCTCAGGATGGAGAACACTGCAGCGCGGTGCCAAAACAACTCCAACACAACCAACAACATCCAACCTACTGCCAACAAACCAGTGTGCCCGTGAAGGTCACAGAGACACTATACCGGGCTAAATGGGTCTTTGATGTTAGATGTTACTTTAAGTTTAACTCAGTTCATGAGACAATCAACATAATTTATCTATTTTGATGGTGTAACATCAGGGCACACTATTACCAAATTATTTGTTAAAGGTCCCATGTCATGGCCATTTCCATTGATCATAATTCCATTGTTGAGGTCTACTAGAATAGATTTATATTGTGCAATTTTTCAAACTCACATTGGTTTCTCATACAGCATCTCTGTAAACTACGTGTATTCACTGAATTTCACTCTCTGCCTTTAACGGCTCGTTGGAGCTCCAATAGCTCCAGCCCCCACCCTCCCTGTGAGCACAGTGTGCTCTGATTGGTCGGGACGTTGTGAATCGCGCTGAGCGGAGGTGTGGTTTCCTGGTTTAGCGATACACAGCGAAACACAGCGAAACTCATCCTGAGCACACACAAACTCACAGCCGAAGTAAAAACAATAAGTGTGGCTTGATATTGAGTAAGAAAAAGGTTGATAAACGCTGTGAGAATGGGTCTGCAGAGAGAATTTCGCCGCGATCCCAACTGTCTGTTATCAGCCTGCAGCCAGGGAGGAGAAATCAGCAGAGCTGCCTGCACTGAGTGTGTGTGTGTGAGGAAGTCCGTGGATTGGTCAATTTGGACCAATCAGCGGGGGCTTAACGTAACGGCTCCGCGGACGTAACGTAACGGCTCCACGGATTGGTCCATTTGGTTCCGGGTACCACATGACCGTATCGCGTCATAGCTCTGGGCGTGGCTACTGGGTATCCAGACGTCACGATGCCCAGGAAGAACATGAGAAATCTCCAACGAGGCGTTTTGGGGAGGTCTTTTCTGTGTTAGAGTTTTACTCCCTACAGGGTGTACTTTGAGGGTTTTTGACTCTGCAGACCGTTTACATGCATAACAACCTCCATAACATACAAGGGGACGGGTAATAACCGGAAAAGCATGACATGGGACCTTTAAAGGAAAAGACCTTCAACATTAAGTATTTTTCTTATTGTCAACAAATACAATGAAAAGATAAAAAACCACCAACACGACGTTCCCAGCAGCCTGTGGCAAACCAAGCTAATGTGTTCCTACAGAAGATATCATTCTTTAAAAATAGGTCATAAATAAATATTGGGTATGAAAAAGGCAAAACATTTAGCTGTTCACACAGTTATTTTAAAACCGTTCTTTAAAACAGTAGTAAAAGGGACTTTGTAGAAAATGGGCATTGATATTTACAGCAGCAGGACTGTGTACAGAATATTAACACTAAATAAACTGCAATGCCCAGCATGCAAGGAACAAGGAAGTAATATATATACGGTAATATAGAATACCCTTTAAAGAAGTATAGATGGACCATTTTCTAGGACGTATTTGTAGATTGTAATAAAGTGTAATACTGTCCGCAAAGATTGAACGTTTCTAATGAGATAATTTTGTAGCATACTGGTAAATGTGTTTCAAATACTTTGTGTACCATGTAAAGTAACCCTTTGGTGACTCATTTGCTAATTATGTCTTTAAAGACTCGATCCAGATGTTAACAGGAGTGTAGCCCCATCTCCAAATGTCAGGACACAGGAGCTTGTTACCCCTGAATATTTTAGCAGGTCTTAACTATTACCATTCTCTGATGCTTAACGGTTAGATCAAATCAGTACGGCATTACCACGTGAATAAACCCAAGAGTATTTTCATTACCTCAAGTATATAAGGATATTCACATCAGATAAACAATGTTTTACATCCCACCTGAACAGAATGGCTGAATATTTAAATTCAAGTGTAACCTCTGACCTCAATGTTGATTCTCTGGCTGGATAAAGGGAATGGATACTATAAAATAGATGGTCATTTAGTCATGTTTTATGCGCCGCACTGATGGTTTAATTGAAATTACTGTCTGTCGTAGCTGTGAGGCCTGAGTTCTAAAGTGCCTTTTAAACTATGAGCTCTCTGATTTAATCCAAGCACAACAGACCAAACCTTCACATCATGTTGTTTTCTTGCTATTCTGTACTGTGGTTGAGAGTGATGATTTAGTGTGTCATGCAGTTTGGTCATATTGTAAGAAAGTTATAGGTAATGTTTATTTTGTAATACTGCCTCATTGTACTGTTGCATCGGGCAAAACAGGGTGAATATTATTTGAATGTTGTAGCAACTATTCAGTGATGTGTAATTAACATTCCAGCTCATGCCGTGTGAGCGGCTGTGCGATGTCTGGGGTGTAGAAATTATACATTTTGACAAAACTGGCAGATCAGGATGTTGTGTTTTGATTTTACTGTGACAGTGAAGCCTTTAAAAGGCTTATATTTATTTTTGTCAAAACTAAATACATTTGTGATTATATTGCAATAAATGCTGTGCATTTTGACATTTTAAAACCCTACGACTGTCTTTTATACATTTATTAATTGTTGCTATATGACTTCTAACAATGCATAGACAGTTCAGCTTATTTTTACTTAAACAATGCTTTCCAAAAGACAATGTACCAAATCTTAACACCTTCATCCTCCCACGCTGATTAAGTCAAGGAAAGGAATAATTCATTTGAAAATAATTTAAGATGTGATCCACCCACCACTGCTGCTGTTGACATGGCACCAGAACAAAGACTGTTCACAAAAGCATTGGAGCTTCAAGTTAAAGGCTTTTTTTAATAGTAGAGCTCTTATAGGGAGTGTGATACAAAGAAAATGAGCCAAGAAAAAGCGAGGAAAGTAGGCATTACCTAACCAAGTTGGTGCAGCTGGGAAAATACGAAAAGAATATAGAAATCTGCATCCTCCATCCTCCTCATTTTCTTCATAAACCACATTTCTATCCTCTATCCAACACAACCACTCTGTTTAAACCGCTGTCACCATTTAGCCACTTTGATAAAACCGCCTGAAGGAATACTCATTCTGTCTTCATCAAAAACGTGAGACAATTATGACTTGTCACGCATCAAAGATTTCTCATTATTCACCAAGGAAGGCAAAAGCTGCATTTGTTATATCACCGTATTCTGTAGTGCTCGCCAATCAAGGGCAATCAGTGGACTGTCTTCACAAAGTTTGGAAGGATCCCCAGTCTGGAGGTGTGTGCTCATTTCATCTCCTTGGGCGACTCAGTGAGTGGGTGAGGCAGACACAAACCTGCCATACACAAAACACCCTGCACAGACCTTTTGATTAAACCACAGCGCGTAGGAAGAACAAGAAAGCAGACGAAAAAGGCATGGAAGACGAGTGCGATGGCTGACTTAATACAACCCCCATGGCGGAGAAAGTGTGTTTTCTCCCAGACTCGTAACGGTAGTCCCTGCAAAACATCACAGGCTGTCAAATGTCTCAGTTGATATTTGATATGCTATCTGTTGTGTTTCATGAGCTATATTTGCACAATTATATGAACAAAACCCTATTTTCTTCTTTACCATTGAATATATTAAATAACATGCAATGCTGCCACAAAGACTCAGTGCAGCCACTGTCTTTATGTCAAATACAGACTTTCTGGACAAAAAGAAAGATACTAGTGTCTCTAAAGGATGGATGAGGAAATAACTGGCTACAGTTCAGATGCAAACCTCAGACAATACACACAAACATTTCCTGGCTGGAACATTAAATAATTAAATGGGCATTTCTGATAAGTATTTTTTAAATATCTGCGTTGAAAGTAAGTGGCTGTCAAATTAACATCCAGATTAACTGGACCCACCCATGCACGGCAACTTCTTTTAATTAGTGGCAGCAACACTGAACTGCATAAGTAATGAATCCTCCATAACTCACTGAGAAAACAAAACTGATTTATCTTATTTTAATTTCTTAATGCCAGCAAAAGAGCAAACAAGGCGTCTCACTGCACGCACTCTTAGGTTTGCTCATTAATCATATGAATACATAGCAGGTGTTCAAACATCAGTCGCTGTTCAAACATCACAAATCACTTGATCACAGCATCATGGTTTCATTTATTCTCAGTCTCTCGTTTTCTTCATCCTTATCCTCTGACAGGCCTGTCTACAGTATAACTCTGCCAGGGGACCGACTGCAGGCATGAAATGCGAATCATGGGAACGTTGGAGCCAGATGTCACCGTATTCCCGACCCTTCTAGCAAGGACTTGCTGTACTCACTGGGAAAATTAAAAAAGAACATCTATTTCTGTTCAGGAATGCTGTGTTTGTTTTTGCGAGGGTTGTTTTCTTTGTCATAAACGTATTTTAACCAATGTTTCCATGGTATCACAGCCTTCAAGGGAAAATCTCCAACCTCTGATTTAGCATTTGGAGGAGCCTAAAGGACTTTAGATAAACAGCTTTGATTATAGTCATTGATCCAACATGTTTTAAAAAAGCTTTGAAAAGCACAATTGTGTCAATTATCGAAAAGATAAGAACAAAACCTGATTCACAGGCAAATCCACCATAAGGGTAAGGGTCTGCTCCAAGGCTCCATGTCACAGCAAAAACATGCCTGCATAAAATTACATTGTAATCCGTCCAATAGTCGTTAAGCCATTTCCTTCCTTACTACAAATGCCAGCCTGCTGTTGGCTGATGACACTAAGGGAGGGATCAGTGGATAACCAAAGAGATTGGGATTCATCCTTTGGGGAACATGGATATATGCTCCAGATGTATTGGCAATTCACTCAATACTGTAGATCTTAAAGTGCACCTATCATGCTTTTTTTTCATGTTTTAGGCAATAGCATGGGAAAGATAAATAAAAAAACATGTCTATGAAGTGTTTTGCTCAAAATACCAAACAGATCACCCATTCTAGCCATGCCTCATATCCCTCTATTTCACTTCCTGTTTCAAAAGTGCTGATTTTGGGTATAAAGCTTTAAAAAAATAAAAAATTGATAACAAATAAAAAAAGGAGGGGGGTTGATGCGGAACCCGGCAGCTACGGTCTAAACTAAATACTGCGGTGATGAAACGCCATATCATGGATTATCAAGG